GCAGTTTGAACGGCATCCAAGCCACATGATGTGAAAAAACACCCGCTTCTGATGGTGTCTGTTCACATATGTCCGAGGCACTGGTGGTGCAGATTCAGTGTGGTTTGAAAAAAAGTCATCTATGATTTCTGATCTAATTGGAGTCAGTACTTTGCACACCTGAAATCCAATTAGGCCTGTTGCACACGGGAGGAAGACATGCTGAGTTTTTTTTTTCTACTGATCTGAAATGAGATGCAGTGTTGTCTATGGGACACAGCACATAGCTGAGTAAAGATCAGTAATAGAGCGTGGAGTACAAAGCAGTAAAACAGAAATAGTACATTTTACATTTGAGTGCAGTAATTTACTCACGTGTTTACTTGTTTAGGCTCCTTGAACAGGAGCGCCATCAATTTACTGATTTTCACTCAGGAATTTGTGATGCTAGAGTGCAAGCATTTTTACTCATCTTTACACTTACACACCTTTACTCGCCTATACTCAATATTACTCAGGTCTCGTCACAGTTGTTGCCCCCTTGCACATGGGCATCACAAGTTCCTGAGTCAACATTAGTAAATTATGATGCCCGTGTGCAAGGGGCCTTAGTGAAATGAGTTTGGAGGTGTGGTTTAGAGATACTTTGATTGATAAAAGACACATTTTAAGATTGCTGTTCATAAGCAGCAACAGCTGATGCATACCACGCGCCACAAAATGGAGCTCTCTGAAGACATACAATCAAGGCTAATTAATCTGTATAGGGATGGAAATGGATACAATGCAATCTCAAAGTCTTTAGGCATCCATCAGTCAACAGACAAATTGTCTATAAATGGAGACCGTTTAATTCTGTGGCTACTCCTCCTAGAAGTGGGCGCCCAGTCAAGATGACTCCCTAGGCACAACAAAGAATTCTCAATGAGGTAAAGAAAAACTCAAGAGAAAGTCTACCATATGCAGGTCCTTGAACAGACAGGGTGTACTAGGCAGAACAGTTCTCCAAAAAAAAAAAAATTGTTTCGGGCCCGACGCTTGCCAAAGAGCACCTTGGCAAGCCACAACGCTACTGGGAAAAAATTTTCTTGACCAATGAAACAAAAGTTGATTTCTCTGGGACGAATACTCAGCACTATATGTAGCACAAAAAGGGCACAGCTTACCAACAACAAAAACATCATCCCAACAGGGAAGAATGGTGGAGGTAACATGATTTGGGCTTGCTTCTCTGACTCAACCACTTATCAAGGGGTAAATTAATTCACAAATTTACCAAAATATCTTACAAGATAAGGTCAGGGTGACTGTCTGCCGGTCAGTAGAGATGGGGATGTGTAAGTAGGCATCCTTGATGTTGACAACTATAAAAGTGTATTGCGTCACTAATCAGTGACCCGCCATGTGCACGGTGTCAGGTATAGTCCAAATAATAAGGTGTCTATGGGTCTTCCGGATCCAAATGACTGGTCCAAATGGTTGGTGATAAGGGAAAGTGTAAAGACTGCGCACGCACCAGATGCGCAATCACACTGCGCATTTAGAGATATCAATCTCAAAGTAACAGGGTATCCCCTTTAAAGGTCTGGTGTCCCTGTGGAATCGACATCAGCCGTCCATGGATGGCTCACCTCCTCTGTAGATAGTGGGAGCTCAAAAAAAAAGGAGGTCCATAGCGTGATACCGTATGAACAGAGGCTGCTTTATTAACCAGATAAATGAATGTACAGAAATCACTGACCAGTATGGTGATCCAAAATGGCTGCCGGGACCGGTATGGTGTCAGCAGCGGTGTCCTATTGCTGTAGCCCCTCCTGACGCGTTTCGTGCAATGGCACGTATTCATAGGGGGTCTGCATACAGCCAAAAGACGCTATACTCGTGCTATAAATTGAAAAAATGGCGCCTGCCATTTATGCGGCCTCCATTTTGCGATAGGTTGTTGTCCATATGCCGGGCGCTATTTTGGAGTAGCCGGGGTGAACTGCGCATGCGCGAGCACCGTATAACAAAACGTAGGGAAAATGGCGCCTGCGCATTACGCAGCCACCACTCCTTATAGTGATATTGCTAATATTTAGGGGCCATTTAAGCGTAGCCGAAATCGCAGCACACACAATAGGTGCTTATGCATGGAAAGGGGTGAGAGGTCTAACAATGAAAGCTAGATCCCCAGAGAGAATAATCAACATATGAATGCTCAATTGGGAACATATTTACAGATAAATTGTGAATATATAGCCATAATGGATTACCATTAGGGATTACATATCTAAAGGCATTCAATACACAGCAAATAAATGTAGCAGCAGGGATCATGATCAAACCCTGTCAGCATATATAAATGTGTTATACATATAAAGTGCATATGGTAAATGTGTAAATATAACAAATATACATATCTGGTCATAAATACAAAATGGTAAGAAACATTTCTGTTCATAGTGGAATAGAAAAAAATTGTAAATAAAGTCATAAAATACACATGAAGATTTAATGATAGAATAAAATAGGCATAATTGTGGAATAAAATAGACATAAATGTGAAAATGTAGATAAAATTCGCAATCAGCAAACAAAGATAAAATAAAATCGCAATGACCAGAAATAAAAAATAATAAAATGCAAAAATGCGTTTACAATGCACATAAAAGATGCACATAATGTATCAAAAATGTATAAAAATATATATAAAAAAAATATATAAAAAAAAAAAAAAAAGGAGAGCATGAATATCAGTACCAATGGTAATAAGGTGGGGATATAAAATAAGTCAAAACAAGATAAAAATTAAATGGATAGTTAGCTATTATTGATGAAACATAGTTAGCTATTATTGATGAAACAATTAATATCCATGTCTACATTCAGACCTTTGGGGTACATCGAACCTATCTCATAAATCCATCTTGACTCCATTTGGGATACTGCTCTTCTCCTATTATAACCTCTCCAATGGGTATGTACTATGTCTATCACCATAAAGTTTAAAGACGAGGGGTCTCTATTATGATGTAAGTGATAATGCTTAGAGAGTGAGTGTTCCTTGAAACCCCTCTTTACATTGTAAACGTGCTCTCGTAATCGATCGTGAAGCCTTCTTGTCGTGCGGCCAATATATTGTCTATTGCAGGAGATACACCACATATCTGCTCGTGCAAGATATAAAACTATCAATGTTATAAACTCTCCCCGTGGTCAAAGAGGTGAATGTGTCAACCTTCCTCTTCCTTTGATTGTTGTACGAGCAAATAACACATTTGTTGCATGGGTAGAATCCTTTCATGCTATTAAAGAGGGAAATCTGCATAGGAGGTTCAACTATGTTTGGGGCTATTCTATTCCTCAGAGGACCAGCCCTTCTAAATGTGACCTCTGGTTTGTTTGGCAAAATATTAGCCAAAATATTGTCTGGCATAAGAATCTTCCAAATATTATTAATAATCTTCATGATAGTCTTATATTGCGTAGAAAAAGTAGTCACAAATGGACAGATTCTTGATTGTTTTGGCTTAGGAATATTAGCCAGCAATATGTTCCTAACCATGTCAGCCACTGTTTGCATTGTTTGTGTAAGGGCAGATTCCTCATGCCCTTTTTCAATAAATCTGTTTTTCAGAATAGTGGCCTGTGAAAAGTACGTGTCAAGATTAGTGCAATTCCTGCGAATTCTCAAAAATTGGCCCTTTGGGATGTTAGAAAGCCAACGAGGGTGATGGCAACTATTAACAGGAATATAACCGTTGCGATCTGTTTCTTTAAAATAGGAGGATGTGACTATAGCTCCTTTTGAGTTATATAATGTTAAATCTAAAAAGTTTACCTGTGGTACTGTATTTGTGAGTTTAATGTTGAGGGTATTATTGTTCAATGTGCCAAAACAATTAATTAATGCTTGCTCATCTCCTTTCCAAATGAGCAAAATGTCGTCAATGTATCGTCTGAAAAAAAAATAATTCCGGCCAATCCCTTGCATAAATTAAATCTTCCTTCCACCTGGCCATGAATAAGTTAGCCAGGCTGGGAGCGAATTTCGCTCCCATCGCAAATCCTTTCGTCTGTAAATAAAACTTCCCATCGAACCAAAAGTAATTTCTGGTCATTGCGAAATCTAAAAAAGGGATAAAATGAAGGTTTGTTGTAAAATAGGCAAATCACTGTGATTATCTAGATAAAAGGCTGCTGCCTGCATACCCTGTGTGTGGTCAATACTGGTATACAGTGACGTAAAGTCAGCTGTCACAAGAAACGTGTTTGGCTCAATAGATAGATCTCTCAAATCTTGAAGAACCTGCTTGGTATCTTTTAGGTAAGATGGAGTTTTGCATACCAGTGGTTGTAGAAACAAATCAATGTACTCCCCTGCTCTTGAACACAACAACCCAATACCACTAATGATTGGTCTACCGGGGGGATTTATAGGGTTCTTATGCATTTTGGGGAGAATGTACATCACTGGTAATGTGGGGACCGAAGGGCACAAAAATTCCTTCTCTTTTTGTGTGATTGTGCATCTGGTGAGTGCGCAGTCTTTATACTTTCCCTTATCACCAACCATTTGGACCAGTCATTTGGATCCGGAAGACCCATAGACATCCTATTATTTGGGCTATACCTGACACTGTGCACATGGCGGGTCACTGATTAGTGACGCAATACACTTTTATATACCATATTTTCAGGCGTATTAGACGACTTTTTTTTACTTAAAAACATACCCCAACAATTGGGGGTCGTCTTATACGCCGGGTATAGAACGCTGGATGTGCGGTAATACTGTATGGTAGCTTCAGCTAGATACAGTGTACCGCGCTGAGCCAATCACGGCGAGCAATGTATTCTATTAATGAATACAGAGCCTGCTCGGATTGGCTGAAGTTGTGACATCAGCCCACCTCTCTGACACAGCCAATCCGAGCAGGCTCTGTATTCATTAATAGAATACATCACTTGCCGTGATTGGCTCATATGACGTCCTCCCCATTCTCTGCGCATGCGCGGTGTCCCTCGGACACCGCTATCACTGATCACGGAAAGAGCTGAAGATGTCGGCTCGGTCATGTGATCAGCTGTGTCCAATCACAGCTGATCACATGTAAACAGGGAAATGCTGGTTATCGGCATTTCTCTCCTCTCGAGCTGTCACGCTGACAGCTCGAGAGGAGAGCCGGTAATCGGCTTTCCGCGGAGGGGACATGTACACTGATTATCAGGGCACTGATAATCAGTGTGCCCTGATGATCAGTGTAGCCCCAGCAGTGCCACATCAATGCCACATATCAGTGCCTACCAGTGCACATCAATGCCACATATCAGTGCCCATCTGAGCTGCCTTTCAGTGTGTCACCAATCAGTGCCAGTCAGTGCCGCCAATCAGTGCCAGTCAGTGTCGCCTATCAGTGCCATGTATCAGTGCTGCCTTTCAGTGCCCATCAGTGATGCCTGTCAATGCCCATCAGTGCTGCCAATCAGTGCCACCTATCAGTGTCAGTCAGTGCCGCCTATCAGTGCCAGTCAGTGCCGCCTATCAGTGCTGCCTTTCAGTGCCCATCAGTGATGCCTGTCAATGCCCATTAGTGCCACCTACCAGTGCCTCATCAGTGCCACCTATTTCATATGGGTACAGTGTTGCATGACTGCGCAATTGTCATTCAGTGTGACAGTACTGAAAGCTGAAAATTGGCCCGGGGGTGGGGGGGGGGGGTGTGGTGGGGAGTGGGTATAAGTGCTCTGTAGGCTAGGGGTTAAATGGTGTTGCCTCAGAAGGGTGGTAGTCTTATACGACGAGTATAGCCCAAAACCTATGTTTTAACTGGAAAATTAGGGGGTCGTCTTATACACTCAGTCGCCTTATACGCCGGAAAATACGGTATGTATTTGCACTGTCACTTTCTCACTTGTTTTTTAGGATTATTTTATTATATTGAGGTTTTATTATATTTATATGCTGCTTATTAGGCTTGACATATATGATGCATGATTTTTAAGCGCTACACCCTGCTATTATATTGTTTACTTTTGAAGGTTGTTGGTACCTTTTGGTGTTTAGCTGCTCACTGACTTTTAGCGCTCACTAATCTTCTTGTTGCTTGATGTTGACAACTGTTCAACTTCTGCACATGCACAAAGCAGTTCAGGGCCTTGAGAGCCAGGATCAGGCGAAACTAAAAATCTAAAGCTAAAATAAAACTAGTTAAGCTAGAAGTGATTTCTCCATATTGGAGAAGAGATCAATCACTTTAGGGCACTATAAAGAAATTGAGGACTCATGTCATGAGGAAGAGTTATAGGGGGATGTCCGGGGTGTGCCTTCAAAAGCTCTGCCAGAGTGCAATTGACTGAAGACACCATAATATAACCAGTGTCTATGAACAACAAAAGCCTGTGTCCTCCCTGTACTGTTTGATTAATGACCTTATATTGCTCTCAGCCTTCTCCAAATTCCTTTTTGTTGCTGTTGTGATCTGATTTCCTCTTATAGGGGTGGCTACATTTGTTCTCCATTTTCCCAATGTATGAAAGAACGTAGCCACTCTCGCTTACTCACTCCTGAGATGGACTAGGGACTAAGGGATCTGTAGTGTGCATAGAGCAGCACACTTGACCATAACTAACGCACACTGCTCATTCCAAAGAAATAGAAATGAGGAGGAAAGGGAGAACATGAGGGACTCAAGGATGTTACAAGGAGACAAAGTCACAGTAAAACAATTTAATGAAAAATGGATTGCAGAGCCATTAGGTAGTGGATATGTATGGAATATTTTTTAAAGAGTAAGGATATCATGTCACTTTAACCATAATGGACTGCATATATGATCAGTGTGCAAAAGAAATATTTTTTTTCCTTTTCTATAAAACCAACAGAGTTTCAAAATTTCACTTCCCTAGTCTAGTTATTGAAATGAAAATAAGATGTACGTTGATTGCCATAAGCCCTGGCCATGAAATAACTAAAAATGGCTAGACCCCATGTTTAGGCTATTTTGTTTTGAAGAAGCAACAAATTAATAACCAAATTCATTGCTTAACCACTTGCCGCCCTGCCACTGTGTATATACGTGTGCAGGGCGGCAGTGGAGCGCAAAACCACGTTCTAAAACGGGTTCCGCGCTCCCGACACTTTCGCCGACAGGGGGCGCGTGCGCGCTCCCGCCGACCCGCGGGTGACACGATTTGATCCAGGAGGGATCAATCATTAGATTTCAGCCAGTGATTTCTGGCTGAAATCACATGATCGGTCCCTGTCCTATGTTGACATATACACAGGGCAGGATATGATGTCATTCTTCTCTGCCTGGACACATTCCGTTCCAGACAGAAGAAGACATCCAAAAAGTGAGTACACAAGCACTACACTACAGTTAAAACACTCTAGGACACATTTAATCCCCTGATCGCCCCCCCCCCCAGTTAACCCCCTTCACTGCCCTGTCACCAGTGTCACTGATCAGTGAAGCGATCTTTACTGAACAGTGTCGCTGGCGGACTTCCGATAGAGTTAGCGCCCCCTCCCAGATAGCGCCAGATTTCCCAATAGCCAGTACACCAGTAATCCCATTTAACCCCTTGATCGCCCCCCCCCCCCGTTAACCCCTTCACTGCCCTGTCACCAGTGTCACTGATCAGTGAACCAATTTTTACTGATCACTGTATCAGTTGCTGGCGACTTCCGATAGAGTTAGCGCCCCTCCCAGATAGCGCCAGATTTTTTCCCGCCAGTACACCAGTAATCCCGTTTAACCCCTTGATCGCCCCCCCCCCCCCGTTAACCCCTTCACTGCCCTGTCACCAGTGTCACTGATCAGTGAACCAATTTTTACTGATCACTGTATCAGTGTCGCTGGCGACTTCCGATAGTGTTAGCGCCCCTCCCAGATAGTGCCAGATTGCCCGCTGGTACACCAGTAATCCCATTTAACCCCTTAATCCCCCCCCCACCCCCCAGTTAACCCCTTCACTGCCCTGTCACCAGTGTCACTGATCAGTGAACCGATTTGTACCGATCACTGTATCAGTGTCGCTGGCGACTTCCGATAGTGTTAGCGCCCCTCCCAGATAGCGCCAGATTGCCCGCCAGTACACCAGTAATCCCGTTTAACCCCTTGATTGCCCCCCCAGTTAACCCCTTCACTGCCCTGTCATCAGTGTCACTGATCAGTGAAACAATTTTTACTGAACACTGTATCAGTGTCGCTGGCGACTTCCGATAGTGTTAGCGCCCCTCCCAGATAGCGCCAGTTTGCCCGCTAGTGCACCAGAAATCCCATTTAACCCCTTGATCGCCCCCCCCCCCCCCAGTTAACCCCTTCACTGCCCTGTCACCAATGACATTGATTACAGTGAACAGATTTTTTACTGATCACTGAATTAGTGTCACTGGTGACTTCCGATAGTGTTTGCGCCCCTCCTAGATAGCGCCAGTTTGCCCGCTAATGCACAGGATTTTTTTTACCAAAAACCAAAAAACATGTAGCAGAATACATTTTGGCTTAAATTTATGACTAACTTTGAGTTTACGATATATTTTTTATAGCTGAAAGTAGAAAATATTGTTTTTTTTCAAACATTTCGTGGTTTTTTTGTTTTATAGCGCAAAAAATAAAAAGCGCACAGGTGATCAAATACCACCAAAAGAAAGCTCTATTTATGTGAAAAAAAAGGACGTAAATTTTGTTTGGGTACAGCATTGCATGACCGTGCAATTATCATTTGAATTAGTGCAGCGCTGTATAGCAAAAAAAGGCATAAATTGCAGTATCTATACCATAGTTTGTAGACGCTATAACTTTCACACAAAGCAATCAATATACACTTATTGGGATTTTTTTTACCAAAAACATGTAGCAGAATACATTTTGGCTTAAATTTATGACTAACTTTGAGTTTACGATATATTTTTATAGCTGAAAGTAGAAAATAGTTTTTTTTTTTCAAAATTTTCGTGGTTTTTTGTTTATAGCGCAAAAAATAAAAAGCGCACAGGTGATAAAATACCACCAAAAGAAAGCTCCATTTGTGTGAAAAAAAGGACGTAAATTTCGTTTGGGTACAGCATTGCATGACCGCGCAATTATCATTTGAATTAGTGCAGCGCCAAACAGCAAAAAAAGGCCTGGTCATTAAGGGGGGTAAATCCTCTGGGGCTCAAGTGGTTAAAGAGTCCAGTAGTCTATGCAGCAGGACTCAAATGTACAAAGACCAGCAACACAGAGGGGAAGTCAAACAAATCAAAATAAGAATGGCATTTACAAAGTTCTATAGGCATTTGTAAAAAGTACTTACCCTTTTTCATTACAAAAGCAGCTAAAGAACTACCACAACTTGTAAACTGAGGATACTTTTCCAACAGATCCGAAAACCTTTCCTTGATTACAGAAGATATCTTTTCATGAATGAAAGGCCTCTTATCTGCAAAACAGCATATGACTATGTAACGTTCTTATGGACACAAAAAAAAAAAAAAAAAAAAAGCAATAATTAGGTAGGAATTAATGTCTATAAGCAGCAGTACACACTACAGGATAACCCAAACCCACAAGATCTTGGAGGAAATAGCATTCTTCCTTCTGTACAACTGCTGCTGTTATTCTCTTTAACAGCTGACTTTAAAAGGCATCTACTAACAATTCCTATTCTTATTTCCATAGCATAACTATGTATGCTTAGCCAAGCCAACCATTTAAACATATGGAGTCACATTGGCATTAAACGAAGCCTGAGGGAAGACAAAATTGCACCCTATTTTCAGGATTAGTAAAACGACAAAAATGCTGGACTTTGCATTATGAATACTAGCCAGGAGAAGTTGCATATAAGACTATCCATTCCACAACTAGGACCATTGTAGTTCCGCTAAACTTTAAGCCCCAACTCACTTGTAGATTGTGGAGCATATGCATGCTTTGCAAATAGGGCAGCTCATTTATTTGTGCACAAAACTGAATATCTTGCTTGCTGCATTTAGTAGTTCTGCATGCTAAGTATTAATGCAGCCTAAAATTGGCAAAATTTGTATTTGCGCACATTTTTAATGGCTCTGTAGAATGTGTAGGTCCAATTGTCAAACACATTCAAACATAACATACTGTAACAAATCAAGATCCTTTACATCTGCGTATTTTAAAACAATACTAAATCAGGATTTTTTGCTTACCTGTAAAATCCTATTGTTAGATTAATATGAGGTTATCCATATCAATGACTACTTGGGATGTCCCAAAGAACTGAACATGAGGGGTGGACAGCATAGCAACAAGGCCAACATGCCCGAAAAACATAACAGGCAAAACTACACTACAAAGCTTCCTGCAGGTCCTTTCACTAAAAAAAAAAAAAAAACAAATTGGCATTTGCAAAGTCCTGAATATCTACCTGGTAGAATTTTGTAAACATATGAAGAGAGGACCAAGTAGCAACCTTACAAACTTGAACAGAGGCTTTTTGCTAAATAACATAGGGAACTGCAATACCCACCCTTAGTAGAATGGGCCTTAA